TTTTTTTTAATTTTAACACCCTGTATCTCGAAAAGTAAATAAGTTTGACCCCTCATTAACTATATCGTTTTGTTCAATTTTTCGAGAAGTATCTACAGTCAAACGTTGTAAGTGTCATTTGGAAACACCCTGTATGTATGAAATATTAGATATTTAATAGAAAATATTAGATACTTACAATTTTGCCACAGACTGAACAGTAGATTTTTCCCATATCCATAGACAGCTCTTTATAAGGTTTAATCCAAGTTGAAGCACTGGTTGTTTTAGGCATTATAAAATCACAATCTTCCTTTTTGTTACGCACAACGAGTGTTTACGCTTTGAATATCAAAACAAAAATGATTTACAAATCTGAGCATCAAATTAGAAATGTTTAGGTACCTAATTCAATAAACTGGGAGATTTTGGAAAATCCCTAAATTAGGAACAAAACTATTAGCCGTTTACCTGCTGTTAAGATACAATAAATTGTAGATAGATTTGGGGATTAGATCATAAAATGCAAATGAGCGAACCCTTAGCGATTATCCAATAACTGAATGCCTCAGTGACCGAGACTTTCTAAGAATGTTGAGGGCTACTTAAATTGATCTTCTTTGAAATTGTAAATGTTTTGTACCTGTAGAGATTACGCACTTAGATCATTTCTTGATTAAAATGACTACAAAATTTTATACAAGAATTGAAATAAATTGGTATGTTTAAAAATTTTCAAATACAGTATAAAAATCTGAACTTTTATGCACTTTATGCAAACTTTTATACAAATATGCCAAAATATGAAATATTTGCATAAAAATATGCACAATATGCAAAATATGCAATATGCATATTTGTCGAAGTCTAATAATAAGATAATTAGAATACAGACGAGTGGCTAAACGGAATAATATGTCCGTTGCATAAAAAGGGTGACCAACTAGAGTGTAGAAACTATAGAGGTTCTGTTGACATCGAGGCATTACTCTGTTAGCATCTGTGTATAAAATCTTCGGCAATGTATTGTTTGAAAGACTTAAACATTTTACAAAGGATATTGTTGGTCAATATCAATGCGGATTTACTGCTGAAAAGTCAACTATACATCAAATTTAAGCACATAGGCATACTATAGAAAAGTCACTAGAATAAAACATAGATACACACTATCCCCTCGTCGACTTCAAAGTAGCCTATGACAGTGTGAAAAGAACTGCATTATATAATACAATAATAGACTTTAGGATTCCACCAAGTTAGTTAAATTGACCCAACTAACAATGCAAAACGTAAGCTCATGCGTTAAAATTAAAGGAGAAAGCTGTACATTCTTTGACATTAATAATGGTCTAAGACAGGGGGCGCGCTGGCATGTCTACTCTTTAATATTGTCTTGGAAAAGACAATCAGACAAATAAATATTAAAATAAAAGAAACTATATTTAATAGATCAACGCAAATTCTCCCATTCGCTGAAGATATAGTTATAGTGGCCAGAAGTATGAGAAACAATGCAGTGTTTTACAAGGCTTGCGGACGCGGCAAGTGAATTAGAATTGTGGTAAACGAGGAAAAAACAAAATATATGTTGGTTCCTAAAAACCCCAAAATTTCCAACAGAGAATTCACAAACTATGAGCAAGTCAAAATATCTATTACCGATACCGGACTAAAAAGACGCATAGCAATAGCAAACAGGCTACTGTTCGCGGTCTACAGAAACATTTAAAAAATAAAATATAAAACGTGCAGTAAAGCTCAATATACACGAGATGTTAATAAGACCGGGGGCTGAAACGTGGATCTTATCTCAAAATGATAAAAGAGTTTTTGGGATATTTTAGAGGAAAATTCATTGATTTTTGGAAAGATTTTTGGGGCTGTAAATGAAAACGAGCTACGGCGTCGAAGATATAACTTCACTTACGCGGATATATTGATATTAAACTAACCTTTAATAGATGGCGCTACTTGATACCGAATTGGTTTCGGTGATAACATTTGCATTCATCATATGAATCATGAATTTAAGTCTGTCAAAATATAAGTTTTAAAAAACAATTAGTTTGGTTTTTACAGCCGTCAACAGCAAGCAAATTTTGTGTTTTCGGAGAAATGGAAACAGTCGAGTATCGTTCGATGATTAAGTTCCTCCACAAAAAGGGTAAAAGGAATGTACAAATCAAAGCCGACCTGTACGAAGTTGATGTTGAGTTTGCACCTTCGTTCTACCTATCTATCTAATTAGCCTTCTTCGGTCCATCTTTGGACATAGGCCTCCCCAATCCTTTTCCATTCTTCTCTGTCTGTCGCTACAGTCATCTATCTAGAGCCCACGTGCTTTTTGATATCATCTGCCCATCTCATTTGGGGCCTTCCTCTGCTTCGTCTATATTCCCACGGTCTCCAACTTATAAGAATTTTGTTCCATCGGTCTTTTTTTTGTCTTATATTGTGTCCGGCAAATCTCTATTTCAATTTTGCAACTTCTTGTCTAACATCCCTCACTTTGTTTTCTCTCTTATCCACTCGTTTCTCTTCTTATCCATTAGTCTTATGTGCAACATTTGTCTTTCTATTGCTTGACGTTTCAATTGGCTGATCATTACGTTGGGTCTCTTGTTTTTGCACGTACTTTTGGCTTTATATCTTTGGTTTTTTTTCCTCCCACTTTAATTTCTGGTTATGTACCTTTATTGTTGTATTTTAATTTTTAGCTGTGTTCTTTAACTCTTGGTTTTTGTATTTCACCACGCCGGAAATGATCAACAAAGTTCATAACATGATTATGAGAGATCGTCGAATTAAGCTCCGCGAGTTGAAAGAGGCCCTAAACATTTCCTACTAATGCGTACACAACATTGCACCCATCTAACAGAAAAGCTATCTGTTCGATGGGTGCCACGTTTGCTGACAATCGATCAAATACAAAAACCTGTGACCACTTTGAAGCCGCTTTTGGCGATGATACGGCGCGATCCAAAGGATTTTTCGCTGATTTATCACCGATGAAACCTGGGTGCATTATTACACACCGGAAACTAAAGAACAGTCGAAACAGTGGCGCAAACGCGGCGAAAGGGTCTCCGAAGAAGGCAAAGAGTGCACATTCGGCCGCCATGGCAAAATTATACGAATTGGGCTATGAATTGGTTGAACATTCACCGTATTCCCCAGATCTTGCCGCCAGCCTGTTTCCAAACCTAAAAAAAGTGGCTCGGAAGACGCCGTTTCGCAACAAATGATGAAGTCAGCCTCTGAAACTTCGGCCTATTTTAAAGAGCTCTAGCAAAAGTACTATTCGGATGAGATAAAAAAATTGGAGCTCTTACTAGTGTATTGAGCTAAAGGGGCTTGTGGAATAATCGATAATCCAAAACTTGTTTTTATTATGCTAATTTTATATCAATCCACCCTCGTATACACCGATCCAGATATTGTAAAATTCTTTAATGTGCAGAGACTTGATGCGGACATTGCTTTCAAAACCAAAGGGCACGAGAACTAGAGGACGATCATTATGAAGATGAATTGATGATGTGGAAGAAGACCCACATATTCTAAGGATCAGAAGATGGAGGGAAGTTGCCAGGAATCGCCATGAGTGGCGACTTGTTTGTGAGCAGGCCAAGATCAACAACGGATTGTCGAGCTACTTATGATGACGATAGTTGAGATGCATTCAGTCAAGTATCGAAGCTCACCTTAAAAATCAGCTAATTTTAAAAAAATCCTATAAACAAATTAAATGTTGGAAAAACTATTGAACCTATCTGACACATCTTTTGTAATACAATCAGCATATTTAAACAAATGTTAATAAATAATAAAAAAGTTATTACCAAAATTAAAAACAAAGATTTTGTTGTTCATTTTGCAATAACTTTTTGTTTATTAACTGATTTTATCACTTTGTGTATGTTTTTCTCAAAAATAGTTTTCTGGTGACATTAAATCTCTAAATAGACAAGTTTTTAAGTTATGAGCAACATAATGAGTTTAAAGTTTTGATTGTTTATTTAAAAATAGTTTCAATAAAAAATGAACGATAGAACTATAGATAAGCTTTTTTTTTCATAGTATCTATACACACAAGTTAATTGGTCTAAACTTAAACAAGGAAAGAGAGAGGACGCGTAACCGTATCGCTAAAAGTGAAGCCAAACTGCCACCAGAGGAAAATGAAACATTTTTGTACATTAAATGTTTTATTTAATTTATTATATTTTATACAAATATTTTGGAATCAAAATTAACGAAATTTATTTATTTATTTACTTATTTATGGAATTTTATGGAATATTTTATGGAATTTTAACCCTCAACGCACACCGCCACAGGCAAATCATCATGGTGTGTGAGTGAAATTATTAATTATAATACAATTACTGAAATAACTATGCATATTTAGCATTCTTATTTACTAATTTAGATCTCACCTTTCCTTAAAATATTAATTTAAATTAGTTTTAAGGTTTAAAATTGAAATAAAAAGTAAAATCAATCAATACCTAATTTCACTAATATAAATATTTACCTAGGGAAACGATATTCCTGGTGTTTTCAGCTCGCTGCGATTTTAACAAAGAATATACGTACAATTCACCATTTTGTTAAGTAAAAAAAATCGGCGTTCAATTCACTTTTTTTAAAAAACCACAAAAACAAAACTGGTGTCACATCTATTGTTTACCACCAAAAACATGGCGGACACATCGAAAAGTGGCTTCACTTTTTGAAGGTTGGTTGAACGAGCGTTACCGTCCTCTTTCCTCGTCTAAGCGTCTAAATATTGTAAACAAAATTAACAAAAAAGAGAGAAGATAAAGAGATTTGCATAATGCGGTTGGGAAAATATTGAACCATAAGGGCAAAACATGTTATGAACCGAAAGAAATAGTAAAAAACAGGAAGGACTGGAAAAACTTTGTAAATAGTAGGTAGGTACATAGAAATAATTTATTGTCCACTACGGTAACTACAAACACACTAAAAAAAAGGTTTTTAAAATATCTTACGTTTTATCGCATCCGTTGATGCTCCATTCTGTCTCTCGTTTTTTAGATTATTGACTGTATGTTCCATTTCCAGTATTGATTCCTAACATATGATGAATCTTAGCAAATCTTTTTTATACCACAAAGTACCACTTATGAATAAATTTTTTATACGATATAAATTCATTGTAAATGAGTTATGTAAGACAATGGTAATTTATTTTGCTTATCTATAAATGATTTAAAATAATAATGCACAAACAAACCATCTTAAATCTTGTGTCGACACAAAACTTAGTTCTAATCATTACATTAAATTAATTAGTAAAACTAATTGTTTTAAAAATACACATACAGCGTTGGCACATTTTCCGCAATTCGCTGCGAAGGTGACAATTATCGTGGAAATATTAAATTTTCAGACAGCAAAATGATGCTGGGTTCAAGACCAATGTTTGGAATTTTGTATTCGAAAATATCTGTTTTCTTTTTTTCTTTTATAATTAAAACCATCACAAATGATTAACTACTTATAGTAAATTCCTAATTTTAAGGCTCCCAACTTTTAGTTTCCATGTTTTAACTTTATTAAAACGTTTAGAATATATAGAATACTTCACAAAGTCATAACTAGAGACTGAATTATATGCAAAATGCATGTGCATATATTTGCAGCATATTTGTGGGTTTCTTTATAAATGCATATGCTATTCATATTTACTTGGGTTAAGAGTATATTGCCGCATATTTAAAATATCACATAAATAAAATACGTTTGTATACATATTTGGATAATAATTTCTTGGAATTATTCATAGCAGGTACTAGGTAAGTAACTACGAAATAATTTTATTACAAATATCTACTAAATCCACAAGTTTTATTGTTTGGGAAAACTCATCTGGAAATTATTTATCAGAAGAATAGGTCAACATGCAGGTAGGTATTTTACAGTAAACTAGTTTTTAAATTCTCTTTACCAGCTGGCAAAGTAACTTGTGATTGTGAATATTGTGCTTCTTCTTCTTCTTCTTCTCGTGCCACTCCTAGAGGAGATTGGAAATCATCATGGCCACTGCGACTTTGTTAGCAGCGCGCCTAAAAGTTCAATCGAACTACACCCAAACCATTCACGTAGATTACAAAGCCACGATATTTTTCTTCTTCCCACACTTCTTTTGCCCTTAATTTTGCCCTGCATGATGTTTCTTAAAAGCTCGTACTTTTCACCTCTCACAATGTGTCCCAAGTATTCCATCTTTCTAGTTTTTATCTTATTTAGAATTTCGCATCTTTTGTCTAAAGTTTGGAGTACTTGCGTGTTAGTGACGCGCTCCATCCATGATATTCTGAGAATGCGCCTATAGCACCACATCTCGAAAGCTTCGATTTTTTTTATGGTCAACTGTTTTAGTGTCCAAGCCTCAACTCCATATAACAGGGTAGAAAAGACATAACACCGCAGCATTCGTATTCGTAACTTTATATTGATATCACGATTGCAAAAGAGTTTGCGCATTCTATTAAAGACTGATTTAGCGATTTCTATTCTACATCTAATCTCTTTTGTTTGATCAGTATCGTCTGTGATTCAAGCACCTAGATATTTATAACAGGGCACACGCTCAATCGTTGTATTGTCTATTACAAGATTAGCTCTGATGTTATTTGACTTCGTGATTACCATAAATCTAGTTTTTTTCAAATTAATTTTCAAGCCGTAACTGTTACAGTATATATTGAGACTTTGAACGAGATGTTGTTAGTTCTACTAGCGTTCCCGTTAGGAGAATGTATCGTCAGCATACCTTATATTGTTGATCGTCTCACCATTTATTATCAGACCAAGATCTTCTTCCCGAGTGCTTGTTCACAGATAGCTTCACTATACAGATTAAATAAAAGTGGCGATTAAGATACATCCCTGTCAATACAATTCGAATATCTCGGCTGTCTATATTTTTCTTTATTAGAACTTGTCTTAGTGGTTCATGTGGTACTTTGTCAAAGGCCTTTTCGAAATCAATAAAGCAGGCGTAAATTTCTTGGTTCATGTCTAAGCATCTCTGTGAGAGAACGTTCATTGCAAACAGAGCCTCCCTTGTACCCAGCCTTTTTTGAATCCCATTGTGTTAAATAGATCTAGGAGTATTTTAATAGATTCATCTGTCCATAAGTTTGAGCAGTTCTACGGGAATTTCATTAGGACCGGGGGCCTTACCACTTTTTGCTTGTTTGATTGCATATTCTATTTCTTCTCTGATCATATCAGGCCCTGTATCATCTGTATATTCGTTTAAAGATTTCTTGTCTATCTTGTCATCAAACAGTTTGTGATATGTATTCTGTCCATCGGTTCATTTTTTTGTTGTAAATCTGTTATAATTATACCATCTGTATCTTTGATCTGTCCTGTCTGTGCTGCTTTCTCCTTCCTGTCATTTCTTTAATCTTTTTGTGTACATTGTGCTTAGAAAATAAAAATAATTTCTTTTTTTAAAAATATGCCGGAAAGTAGCGAAACAAAAAATCAAGTCTATTGCGGAGTTGGGTTGGTGGCAACAGTGAAATGAAGATAATAGACAATGAAAGTATTTTCTGTACTATTTGTGATCTGTGTGATTTGTAAATTTAAAATCTCATTTTTGCAAGAAAATTGGTATACCTATATTAAACATGTAATAGTTTGACTATTGGCGGTAGTTTTAGTTTCGAGAAAAAAAATATAAGTTATCTTAAAAATTTGAAGTCCATATTATTGCATTAGACTCTATTTATTAAACTGTTTTATTACAGATTCCATGTGAAAAAAAATTCCAAATTTCCAACACCTGAAAACGGCTCTCCACCAATCTAAACTATCTAAGGACTTCAAGAAACCACGCCAGCAGCTTCTGCAAACATTATTCAAAATCGTCACACATCGACGGGACAAGACATGTTTGCAAAAGATGTATGCAATTTTTTTGTAAGTTGCAATATCTCACTGTATAAATTGGATAGCAAGGTGTGTCAAAATTGTTTAAAAACATATTGTAAAGTTGAAAATAAGTCAATACAGGTACCAAGTTCTTCAACTCTTCACAAGAAATATGTGAGGGCATCTTACAAAGACGTTATTGAAGGTATTAAAAGCCAGGTAAGAGATGATTATCTGTGGATATCTGTCGACGAGACTACTGACGCCAAGGGTCGGCAAATCGCGAATTTAATTATTGGAGTTTTAAACAGTTCAGCCAACAAGTCGTATTAATCAGTGTAAAATCTTTAGAAAAAACCAACTATGCAACAATTGCTCGATTTGTTAATGAATCTTTGACAATTTTCTTTTTACCGAATTAAGTACCTTTTGAAAAAATTTGCTACTAGTTTTAGTAGCGATGCCGCATCCTACATGGTTAAAGCTGTTACTAGTCTTAAATTTTTTTTCCGAATTTCCAAGCCGATCATATTTTATTTGTTTTTAATTTGAAACATCGTTACTGATTTTCTGAATAGGATATTATTTGCAATACCCCAATGGACACAAAATAAAATTAGCCAAACGAAACAGGCGCTAATTTCAAAAATATTACAAAAAATGTGTATCTGGGGTGCAGCTGTACCCCACCCGGGAAGACGAAGGTTAAATTTATTTAAATGTATATTTCTTTGTTTCTCATGTAAATTTTCAAATACTGTAATGTAAACTAAAGATAATTGGATCAAAAGCAACATGGCTTCATTGAAAAATTAAGTATATATAAATAAGTTATATTATTTAAATTCATTTTATATAGCTAAGCACACGTTCTACAGTGGTCAGAGACGAAAATGCCACTTAACCTCTAAAAATAATACGAATTAGCTAAATTTTGCCGAAAATATTATTTCCGCTCTGATGAGACCTAAAGAGGTATATACGTATTCCGTATAAGCGGCTTGCCGCCGCGCTGCATCGAAATAGAAATCTAATACCGTCATTATGTTTTATTTCTTTACTAAGTTTGGAGTCCTAGAAACTGAAATCACTATGAATTTTGACCATGATGAATGGCTTGTGGAATGAATGTGTTAGATTCCCTTGTCGACCAATTCATCAATCTGTTTTCTTTTGCAAGTGTAAAAGGCACAGTGGTAAAGATTTTAATTCAGTTTCGCTAGGTAAAAAATCTTAAGATTTCTCTTGTTAAATAAATTTTGTTTTTTTGTTGAATTTTTTTTAACTATGTTTTTAGCACGATAAAAACCACTTATCGTAGCTAAAATATTTTTATTTGTATGTGAAGATTTAGAGATTATAAAGCTTTCTGAGGAATTATTATTCATTTATTATTTTAAAAATCACTAGTAAAGCCATTTTTTCAAAAAAAATGCAAATAACATAAAAGGAATCATTTTTCAAAAAAATTACCAGAAGAGAAAATGCTTTTACTTTGAAGAAATAGGCTAACAAATTTTACTAGAAGCGACTCGGTCAATTATTTTTTTTTTATGTTAGGGTAAATGCACCAGTTGTTGGCCATGTGCTAGTTATTGGCCTACTAATATATTTCGATTAGAATTAGGAAAATGTTGGTATTTTGTTAATTTTACATTTCAGTCAGTATTCGATGTTGAATAGACACTGTTCTGTGCCGCTAGTTTCAACCGAAATTTTGTTATTTACCTACAGAAACTTTTGTTGGTCGGTCAATACTAACTGCAATTTACTTCTACTTTATATTTTATGTTTTTGTGAGAATATAGTGTATGTCCTGTTCCAAACTGTATAACGAATATAACGATATTTATACAACGAAATTATCAACGTATCAGTCATTGGCCTAGATGGCCAATAACTTAAACATTTGATTTTTTAAGAATCTAGTGATTGACATATGTTAATAACTAGCGTTTTTATGTGTGGCCAATAACCAATTATTATAAATTGTTTTAGAAAATATGCCAAACGATCTAAAACTGAAAACAATTATAAAAAAGTATTCCAACGATGACGATGTTAAAAAGCGTTAGTTAATTAAAAATGGTATAAGTAAGCGAGAAGCCCGAAGAATTTTTATGCATTACAAGATAACGCATGGATCAGATCCATTTCTTACGAAGGATGAAGAGGAACAACTGAAACTTTGGATTTTCATTGCCAAAATAGAGGATTTACTGTTCGTGTTGACGACATTAAGGACCCCGTTAAATAATTTTTAAAGAGTAACCCTAAAGTTTGTTGAAAATAGACCATGCAGAACATGACTATCAACCATTTCTAAAGCGCAATCCCAACATTTCTCTACGGACTTCAGAGGGAGTGACATCCGCAAGTTCAAACATTAACCAAAGGGATATTACCAAATGGTTTGACAACATAAAATCTTAGCTAGATAAAAAAGAACTTTCATACGTTCTTCAAGACCCAACAAGAATCTTCAATGGTGACCAGACATGTTATTTATGTCCAAAAAATAAAAAGGTTTTGGCTATGAAGGGTTAAAACGTCTATGAAATTGAACATAACCCAAAGGTTAACTTTACAGTTATGTTTACATTTTCTGCATTAGGCAATATTTTACCTCCTATGATAATTTAGTTTGCCAATGATATACTAAGTGCTGTGCCGAATTCGTGGGATATTGGTTTAACTGAAAATGGTTAGATTTAGGTTAGTTTAGGACAACAAAAACTTTTATGAATATATTGGAAATATATTTATTTTGATCAAAATAATATTATACGTCAGGTGATACTTTTTATTGATAGTTATAAAACCAATTTAACTGTACAGACAAGCCAACTTTGTATAGATTTGAAAATTATTTCAATAGCTTTATATCCTAATGCCACGAGAATAATGCAACTAGCGGATGTGCCTGCATTTAAGCCTTAAAAAACTTTTTGAAACAAAGTTGTGCTTCAGTTTAAGAGAGACAACACCCAAAAAATGTTAACGAAAGTACAGTTTGCCCTGTTTTAAAATCTGCTATATAAAATCCAGATGTTATCAGAAGTGTGTTTAGGGTATAAGGTATATTTCCTTGGAATTCTTCTGCTCTTCACTATTCAAAATGTCTTGGAAAAGAATTTGAAACAAATACAACAATTTCTTATAAACAATCGTGTGAAATAGGTGGCAATGACAAAATTAAAGAGCTATGCCGAAATAATGGTAAAACTCAATCTGATGATTACCAAATATTGAAACAAATATTTTCAGAATTTACAGAAAATTCGGTAGAAATTTCTACAAACGACGAACAAGAAAATATTTTAGACGAAGAAGTAAAATTTTTAGACACTAGTGAAGTAATTTTTGATATAAATGGCATACCTGTAATAATAGATGATACTGAAATTGTAAACATTCCTGAAATCGAGAACGAAACCTTGATGGTACCTGAGAATAAAATTTTCAACATGCAAGGCATAGAAGAGTATACAAATCAAGTTGAATCAAGTTTGACGAAAACGATTAAGGAAGGTCAAAAACCAAAAAACCCGAGAAATCCCTAAATATTTCTGAAAATATATCTGTAAATGCTACAAATAAATCTATTTCGACTTACTTAATATGGCCAGACTTACTTAAAATCAAAAGAAAATAAAAAGCTGGAATAATAAAAATCCCAAAAAATTAGCTAAAACTTTAAATCTGAAGAAAAAAGTAGACAACCCATAGAAATGACCTCAACAAAATTAAAAAAAAAGGTGGAAAAGTTATATTCCTATTGAAAAATATCCAAAAGACAAAAAAAGCATTGAAAGTGTTTTTTCCTCTAAATCAAGATAGTAGAAGTAACATTGTGGAGGTTTTTGAGCCATTATTACCTGAATTTGTCAAAGTTTCTATACCAGAATCTCATTCTCACACAAAATCATCAAGCTCTGTAAACAACCAAGATAATATTGACATTTCAAGCATTCACCTACACCAGAAGCGAATTTGAGATTATCTCCAGAAATATTTCTCGCCCACACTAAATCTCCAAGCCCTGAGAAACAAATTGTACCCAAAAGGAAATTATTTGATGATAATACAGATCAGTCCTCAACAAATATACAATTCTGTCTAATCATTTGTTATCAAATATTCCTTTACACGTTGAAAATCGAAACTTGGTATCAAACGTTCCATCACATTTTAAAAATCAAAAGATTCAAAAGGTGTGAATCTATGTGTACTAAATATTACAGAGTGTAAAGAAGGCACTAGGTGCCAAATGAGTCTTAGAACATATCATGTAACTTGCATAACAAGAGTCTATGGCGACCAGATCAAGTATATGTTTGCAAATCTTGCCAAAATAAAAAATAAAAGTTTACTTTGACATGTATTTTTTTTGTGTCCACACTCATCACAAAAACCTTGCATACCCAAACACCTACCTATCTATATATTTTAACTTAAAAATTATTTAGTAAAATATCTCTTTAAAAAATAATGATGGCCAATCACTAACACATATGGTGTCAATATCTGGAACAGGATGGCCAATAACTGGTTTATTTGCTCGTTTATAAAAGAACACATAATAAAATATTTTACACATGAAATATTAACGTAATAATATTTAACAATATGTAGAAATAATAATAAAATTTTATGGTGTTAATAATAATTATAATAGGCCACAGTGACAAACATTTCATAGATAATATATCGACGTGCTCTCCTTAAGAGGCTAATAACTGGTGCATTTACCCTATTTGTTAATAACAATATCCAGCCCACTTATTAAAATAAAAAAAATACATTTGAACTTAAAAAAATATATAAAACCGAATAAAAAAAGTTTGGTGTGATAGAAATAAAAAAATAGTAGGTATATTCGGTCTCTAAGCGTCTTTTTAGGGGTAAATCGTTCGCCTATATTTTAGACCTGATTTTTCCTGGTTAACAACAAATAAAAAACTAACAATTAAAAAAGTTTATTAAAATAAGTAGTACAGCGCCTTTCATATATAAACAAAAAAAAATAGTACATTTAATGTTTTTAAGGTATACTATTGTAACATTATGTCATACCATCGAGAACAATCTTAATTAGAGAAGAATTTAAAATTTACATTTTAATGCCGTTGACAAAACTTGTTTGTTACATATTTTTTAAACATTTATTAAGAAAATCTTGTAAACATCAAGTTAGGTATTTGTGTTTATTATTTTGTATAAATGATTAAAACAGAAATCCATGTGAGTTTTATAATAAACGCTACTTTAATTAAATTTTTCTCGATGGACGTATACAATATTATATATTCAGATAAGTATAATATCTTGTATATGGAGATATTTTACTCAACTAAAAGTAATGTAATTATTTATTAAATTACTTATATTTATGAGTATAAATAATATAAGTAATTTTCGTCATCACTAAAAGAACATTTTGTAAATCCAAAATGATCACAGCAACACATAGAAGTCAGGCATTTTAAAAGTTACAACTTTTATATATCTAGTTAATATGAGTAAAATGGTGGTTTCAAATATACGTCAAAGATATCTCTGGTCTCTATATATTTTCTTGGGTTTGTTTTTACCTCTAAGGTTTTGCCTATACTGACAGACTTAATATTCTTCGACTCTACCTTGGGCCATATCACGTTTCCAAAGGCTTCGTCCTTTTCAGGTGTAGGATTTCTGAAAGTAAAAAAAAATCGTTGGTTTGGTGATAATAAAATTTGTAAGTAGAAATATGAAAGTAATTCTCTGAAGAAACTAATAAACGTAAAAATAAATAATAACAGCCAGCATAATTCTTGGAATCTCGAATTATCACTAGATATTTTTAAAACATCTAAAGGATCCATGTCGACTTAGCCTAAATAAAATGAGTACTTTTATAGATGATAAAATCAGCAGTATAAGCCATGAAAGCGACGTACTAGACCTGCTATCTTTGTTTTTATTGTAGGCACTAATTTAATTATTGGGTCATAGTCAATTTTTTAATGAGCTGATTCGCATTATAACGTTTCAATCAACCGATTAAATGTGACACCAAGCTCCGCTTGGTACTTGTCCCCTATACTATAGTTTATTTTTATGAACGAGAGAGTAATTAGCATAATTTTAACTTTTACCTTCGACCACTCCATGGGCGTGCTCAGATTAATTGAAAAATTACTTTGAATAATTGTAAAAAATAAATGAATTATTTCAGTGTTATAAAGTATTATGTGTATGTAAACAAAAGTGACCTCTTTTATCACCCACTATATTAGAACTGACTGGCCTACATCAAAAAGGGTTTTAAAAAATTCACAATTTTTTTTTAATTTTTAAAAATTACAAAAGAGAAAAAGAGTTTTTAAAACCGTCTAAGGTATGTTAAATAGATGAATAAAAATATTAATATAAAACTTACAGCTACTTGTTACAAATCCAAATCAGATTCAGAAGATGAACTTTCAGAACCAAGATTTATAATAACTGGCTCGATCATTTTATCAGTAATATTGTCCAGTTTCCACATTTTTTCCTCTTCTTTAATAGTGTGATTTACTGCCTTTTCCCAGTTTTCAGGTTTTACATTATTTACGGCCTTCAAAAACAACTGTTTAACATCATGAATTTTAAAAGTGGTATTTTTTCTTGAAACTAAAGAAGAATTCATGCACTTTCCGTCGAAGTCCTTCTTTAAAATGATATTCTATTTGAAATTTTGGTTTCCCTGGAGCATTACGTGGCATTTGAAAACTACCACATTTCTCTTCTTTAATAACTCTGTAAATCGTAGATTTCCCAACACCAAGTGTACTGCTAACTAACTCAACGGTCTCATCAACACTTTCACATAAACGTTTGTCTGTAAATAATTTAAAACAATTAAATATTAATGTTTTTTCATTAACTGTTAAAGGACCAATTTTTCGGCGTTTACACGGCACTTCCAAATTTTCCATAACACTAGTATACACAATAAACTGCACCTTGCAACTGAAGTACCTACTTTTAGTGAACTGTCAAGAATTTTAAATACGCCACTTGGACCTTCCTACAAAATGGAAAAACCCACTATCACATTTTCTGTGGAATAAGTTTAGAATCTAATTATCTAGTCAATTATTGTCGTAGATTCCTGGAATTAAAGAATTAAATGTTTGATTGTTGAAACCCTTACTTCGTGGAATTCACTCATTTCAGATAAAATAAAACTTTTTATTTTATCTAAAGAATTAAACTTTATTTTGCAAAATAGGTAGGTAATTATTAAACTTTTATTGGTTATATATAACCAATAAAATATAACATCTTACATTTCTTGCAAATTCATTAGTACCTACCTGTTAACCTCCATCACTCCAACACTGGCAACCTTATTTAGGGATTAGTAACCCTCACAACTATTGTATTCTATTCTGCTCCAACTTTATACCTGGTGGTCATACTCAATTTAAAATTGTTTTCCTATATACTTCTGTAAACTTGTTGACAAATATCTTTTTTTCATTGAGTCACCCGTATCAACACTTTAGGGATTTGCATACATAATTTATTGTTTTATTACTCTCTCATACATAAAAATACACTATATAATGTTCCTAAGCGACCTCACTACATTATAAATATTTTTAGCAGCCGCGCTACTTTATATAAGCTGATACGAATCTTTATTCGTTCTTTTTCACTCTACTACAATTTCTACAATCATTCTTAAATTGGTTAGTGTCTTGGCCGTATACAACGGTAAGTTTTTTCTAGTTTTAGAGCTTCTGTTTTTTACTTGTTTTACTTTGCGTGGCAGACACTTTCTTTCTTAAATTAAAGCTGAAATAATTTTAGCTTTATTTTTTTTCTCACTGTATAATTTACAGTAAGACAATGTAAGTACAAATGTCGGCTGACAAGTAAAACTTACTAAGTGCAATTTTGAAAGAACAGAGATATTCAAGTTTTAAAGCATATTTTATTGTAAAAAATTCATTTTTGAGCCAATTTTATAACAGAAGGTAAAAACAACATGTATTTTCTGTTATAATCTGTTATAAAATTGGCTACAAAAATGGATTTTTCACAAAAAAATGCTCTAAAACTTGAATATCTCTGTTCTTTCAAAATCCACTTAGTGAGTTTTACTTGTCAGCCGACTATATATGTACTTATTTTATCTTACTTTCCTTAACCCTTAACCACTGACATGCGGTATGCCATACTGAGCCGAAAATATATTTTGTTTTTGTTGTAAGTGTTGTTTGTTTGTGATTAAAGATGCTGACACTAAACCATCGCCATGTGTACAATTGAGGTGTGTGTGTGTTGTGTGTGTAAGTCAATGCTTGCAGTATTAGAAGTACGACGTCATTGTCTTTGCTTGAGCTACGTTGACATAAAGTTTTCTTGCGGTATCAAGTACCGCATGTCAGTATTTACGTTTCTCTAGTTAAAAGCAGTGTAGTGTATTCTTTTGCTGTTAGTATGGCAGCAAGTTCATCCAGAGCTTCTAAATTTAGCCGCAAAACTATAAAGCTTTCAGATGATGATTTTAAGGCTGTGTTATCTCAATGGACTGACGAAGTACCTAGTGACTTAGAATATTTTAGTGATAGTGATGTTGACGATGCAAGCGAAAGAAGTATGTATTGAAAGTTCACACGACACCGGAAGTGAGCAGTCGGAGAGTTCTGACGACGAATATCATTTAAATGATAATGGTAAGTCATATTTTTATGGCAAAAATCGTTTTAAGTGGTCTACTACAGCACCCTCGAAAAATGTAAGAACTCCGTTACACAACCTTGTAACAAAAGTACCAGCTGTGCGGTCCAGAGATGTAAGAAGCGAAACTTCATCATTTTTTTTTAATTTTCTTATTTCTGAGGATATAATACAAGAAATACGTAAATGGACAAATAATAAATTACGTGCAATTCGTGAAAACTATAAAAGAATAAATAGACCAGAACTAAATAAAATTGATGAAATAGAACTAAAAGCCTTTTTGGGATTGCTTTTATACTCATCAGCTTTCATATCCAATGACGAAGATATAAATTCTATATTTGCTATAGATGGCACTGGTAGAGATATATTCAGATGTGTTATGTCAAAGAAAGATTTGCAATATTTTTAAAATGTTTACGTTTTGATAACCCTCTGGATAGAGAAGAAAGAAAAAAGAAGATCCAACAGCAGCCATTAGTAACATATTTAATATATTCATATCAAATTGTCAAAACTGTATTCGGTAGGCACATTTGTTTGTATTGATGAAATGTTGGTCCGCTTTAGGGGAAGGTGTAGGTTTAAAATATGGCATTGAAATATGACTGTGAAATATGGCATTAAAATAATCTGCCTGACTGATGCACGAACAAGTTACTTATACAATGCCTATATATATGGGGGCAAGGTCACTGACGAAACTGGGTTATCTGAGGAAGAAAAGAAGATGAATAAACCAACTCAATTTGTTGGTAACCGTAATATCACAGCTGATAATTGGTTTAGTTCTATAAAATTAGTAAAGCAGTTAGAAGTAAAGAAGTTAACGTATGTGGGAACCCTCAAGAAAAATAAACGGAAAATCCCTCCGGAATTCCAGCCACACCAATGTAGGCAAGTAAATTCAACTACTTAGGATTTACGAAAAGTTTATCCCTAATTTCCATGTGCCAAAAAAATCATGGGCTGTTTTACTTATTTCTTCGATGCACCATTCAATAGGCAAGGATCAGATTACTGGAAAACCAAAAATTATAGCTCATTATAATCGTACGAAAGGAGGTGTCGATACTTTAGATGCCAAGTGTGCCAAATATTCTGTAAAACGTCGTTCTCGCCGATGGCCACTTACTATTTTTTACCGCATCATTGATATAGCTGCTGTTAATTCGCATGTTGTGTACCAATCACTACAAGAAGATAATATGGAAAGGCTAAACTACACAAAGGAGTTAGCGAAACAATTAGTTTTACCTCATCTACAAAGAAAACTCGAAAATCCCAGAATCCCGAGAGAATTATTATTTGAGGTTTTTTCCTGGTTTTTCCCTCATAATTTACTATGGAATCACTAACAGGAGAATTTTACTGTCATCATGTCATGTGTTTGTCTTTTTAAAGACGAATTACATGCTATGATTTTTTTCTGACGGATATTCTCAAGTTAAAGTTGATTTCATGTAATCGAATGAACTATCTTATAAGTAAAGTCGTCCCAGGAGCGCAACTCAACAATATTGGCAATATCATTTTAAAGTCGTCTACTTTAAAATGCATAATGTATGTCTGAATTGTCAATATAAATGAGTCAGATAAAATTAAATTATTAGAAGAATTTTTCACTATGTAACAAAAAACAAAATTTGTTTAATTTACTGTTTGTATTTTGAGAACGATTTCCGAAGTGGAAATTGAAACGTCATTAAACGTATTTTTATCTTTAATTGTGGCTTATTCCCAGTTAAATAGTGATTAATTTAAAATGCCACAAGAAAATAGCTTCAGAACAATTTTAATGGTATTGCCGGTTAGGCATCAAACATCAAAAGATTTAAATAATGTCTCATAATTGCCCCACGTGACCCTATCTTTTGGAAGTCTGCTCGTTATGAATAATCTAAAAATTCCATTCAATACAGAATATCGCATTTAAAAAATTAAGATGGTGTCACCACGTTAGTGTAAATTACCCTGTATAATAATTTTTTGTAAATATAGGTATGCATTCTGTCAGTACTGTATATAAACTAAGATATAAATTTTCACTAATACACAGAGTACTCTAACTGATTTTCATCTTTACTGTTAATACTTACAGATGTTTAACAAAATTACTCCAAAGTTTACAGACAACATCCCTATAAATTGGTTGATAATCATTGACATATTCGTCTGTGTCGCCTTTCCACATGTATTGTAACTCTTCAGTGTGTTCAACACCTGTAAAAATGAAAATGAAAAATGCGTGTATTAAATTATTACCAAAAAATATAATCTACAAAATTTTTAAATGTGTTAATATACACAACCCATCGGTCACAAATTAAGATTAATAAAAATTAAACAAGATATAATAGACCAGGGTCGATAATTTTGGAAACAAAAAAAATATAGTAGATTGAAATCTATTGGAAAAAGAAGAGAATGTGCTAAAATTGGAAGAAAAAATAAATTAAACTCCATCCGAGGTCGGGAAGTGGGGGGGGGGGAGGAGTTAAGGGTAAAAATCGGTTTATCGCGATTTTCGGCGAAACTACAGGTGCTATGGAAAAAAGTTAAATAGCAAAGTTGTAGGTAACAAAAAGATCTACAACTTTTGTATTTACACTTTTTTCACATAACAAGTGTTTGATTATTTTATTTTTATCTTTCTTTTTCACGAAATTTGGTGAAAACTTGCCTTAATATGTATCAAATACACTGTAATTTTTTGGAATTGAAAAATTTATTTTTTTACCTGATATTGATTTATTATCAAAAAAAGCACCTTATTTTCAATCGAAAATTCACGAGTCATAATATAAGCTTTTTTAAAAAAGTCGGTGGGCTTTTTGTTCGTTGAAATCTCTATTTTTCGATGTGTAAAAAAAATATACATTACTATGGGAAATGTTCACAAAAAACGCAAAACACGAAGAAAACTCGAATCGAAGTGTGATTACTGTTTATTATTTATCCATTTTTCCACTTTTTTCGATTCGTTTATCTCCCCTACGATTTTTCTCTTTCCCTTCCATATTCTTCTATGTGGTTCAGCCACTTCTTTCTTGGTCTATTTCTTCTTCTTGGCGTTGATTTTTTCATTTCTATTATTCTCTTTACCAGTCGCTTTGATCCTTTTCTTACCATGTGACCGAACCAATTACCATGTGACCAAACCAACTACGATATGACTGAATCAATTCATTTGTTTCTTTTTGGTTTTGACCAAGATTAGCTCTTGACCTCTATTTCCTGTTTCTTTGTTGCTCACTCTGTCCCACTTATCCTTATTGGCTACATTCTTAATGTGCTTAATTTTCCTTGTATTTATTTTTACTTCCTGCTTCTTCTTAAGCATACAGTCTTCTATATCTGGTTTATTGGTATTGTTATAGTATTGTGAAATTTTTTGTATTTCTACTTCAATTTCTTTATGTCGGGATATTGTTTTGTTTAGTGCATAATACGGGGTGTCCAGAAAATCTCCTGACAAACGAAGACTGGAGATTTCTCAGATAATTTTAAGATAATTTCACAAAATTCACCTAGTCCAAAAATGCTTCCTAAGGGAGCTAGAGTTCTTTGAAGATGGCGCCTTGTAATTAGATTTTTTTTAATAACTCCAGAACGCTTCTATTTAGAAAAACAAAAACTGGCACAGTGATTAATCATCCAGAGTTAAATCGATTCAAGTCATAGGCGTTCGTTTTGTGTAGGTCAACGGTTATTTCAATGTATAACTTTTTTGTATTTAATTTTTAAGCATTCGTTTATATTAAAATTATTAAACTTTCAGGTAATCTAGTACTAAAAGGTACTGTTACTTTATGTCGCTAGGATACACTATTTTGTAGAAAAATCGATTTTAACATTTATCGTTTAAGTTAAATTAATAGGTACTTAAATTAATTTTAGAAAAATATCTTTCATTTTAATATATGCAGCACACAATTAGTAAAAAAAGTTTGGGCAAAGAGGCAAAAATCAAATTAAAACACAATTTTATTTAAAGGGATTTAAAAACAAAGTATTTATTACGATGGACGGAAACTAACACAAAAGAACAAGTATTAAAAGTAGATAGTTAAAAAAGATCCTCGATGTGAAAATCATTAGTCTATATGCATAAATTTGCTCTTTTGCTTAAAGAACTTCGAATCTTGTATCCTTAGCCAGAGTTGTGCACGATTTTGTATCGAAACGAAGTAAATGCTTTTATGTATCCCAAACACAATACTCTCAAGGATTAAAATCCGGGGACCTTGATGGCCAGGCAACTGGACAACCTCTTCCAAAACAGTGATCTTCATAATTATTATCAAGACAGTCTCAAATATTCTACCAAAGTGGTCGGACAGCCGTCATGTAAAAACCATAAGTTTTGCCGAATATTTTAAGGAAAATCATCTGATGAATCACGCAAAACAGAAAATGGTAAGTAATCACCAACATTTAAACGAGCAGGCAATTCAATAGGCCGAAGTAGATAATCGGTAACTACTCCTGTTCAGACGTTTATGCTAATCCTATGCTGATGCTTAAATTTTTGAACAACGTGGCTATTGTCACCAACAAACGAATTATATTGTGCAATATGCACATTAAAAATTTTATTTTCGTGAATGTAGCTTTGTCGAAAACAAAATGTACCTGAAAAAAAATCATTGTGATTTTCTGATTTTGTAACCATCTAGTAAATTCTTCACAAGCTGGAAAATCTCCTTGTGGCAGTACTGGTACTTTTGTAAAATAAAAAGGATATAAATTTTCGGTGTGCAACATATTTCCTACGGAAGATTTTGAAATTGTGGAATACATAGCAAATAGTCTTCGAACGCTAATTTCTGGATTTTACTTAACTTCCATTAAAATAACATCTTTGCTACTGTTACATCATGTCGTCCTCTTTCACTATTTTTTGGGACCACTGAACCTGTTTTTTCCCAATCGTTGATGAAGAGCTGTAAATATTTAGTGAGTTCACGATAGGAAAATTTTTCAGGGTATGTACATTGTGCTGATTGAGCGTCAAAACCATTTTTGTTAAATTGAAATTGTTATATTTTAATGCCACAAAGTAAAAAACTATAAGATTAATTTCGCAAACTGACTACAATTTGACAATGGTAAACGTAGGTTATACTTCTGTTGATAGATCAGAGCCAACTATCTATCTAATTAGCCTTCTTCGGTCCATCTTTGGACATAGGCCTCCCAATCCTTTTCCATTCCTCTCTGTCTGTCGCTACGGTCATCCATCTAGAGCCCACGTGCTTCTTGATATCATCTGTCCATCTAATTTGGGGCCTTCCTCTGCTTCGTTTATATTCCACGGTCTCCAACTTATAAGAATTTTGTTCCATCGGTCTTCTTTTTGTCTTATATTGTATCCGGCAAATCTCAATTTCAATTTTGCAACTTCTTGTCTAACATCCCTCACTTTTGTTTTCTCTCTTATCCACTCATTTCTCGTCTTATCCATTACGCATTGATTATATACTTTGGTCTTAAGATGCTGTGGATATCTTTTGTTTTTAAGATTTTAAGAATGTAGCTTAGTTTGCCAAATGCCGCCCATGCCAGTCTAACTCGTCTCTTGATCTCTGCTGTTTGGTTCTCTTTGTTAAGTTTTATAGTTTGACCAAGATATATAATCCTTAACTTGTTCTATTTCATCTTGTCCGATTCTCATTGTGATGTCTTCATGTGTATTTGTTATAGTTTTGGTCTTGCTGTAATTCATATTAAGGCCTATCTTTCCAGCTTCTACGTCCAGTTCTTTCATCATTTCAAATAACTCTTCTTTTTATCGGTTATCAATACGATGTCATCAGCGTACCTTAGATGGTTCAAGCGTTGTCCACAAATTTTTATACCTTTTTTTTCCCATTCTAATCTTTTAAAAGTATCTTCAAGAGCCTGATTGAAAAGTTTCGGTGATAATGTATCACCCTGTCTCACGCCTCTACTAGTGAAAAGCCAACCCTGTCTCAGAGCTAACTAGTGAAAAAATATTAATTAACTTTAGTGACTAAAAAACAAAAAACTGCTGTCCTTGCAAAACTTATTTACCCCACTCCCTCTCTTAATAAGTGTTCCTAGTACATCTTCACGAACTACTTCATCTCTTTCTTTTCCTACGAATTAAAGTCACCTAAAATAATATTAACTATTTCTGTTTTGGTTTCTTTTATTATTTTGTCCAATTAATTGAAACAGTCATTCTTCCTCTATGCTATTAGATGTCGGAGCGTATGCTGTAATGATGTTTATATTGCACGATACGGCGTTCAAGTTCATAAGTTGATCATAATAGCTACTCCATTGCAATTTTGTGGGGTGTTATCTCCAAAATAATAAAACTCGTAGTTCTCTTTTACACATCTGCAGCTGTAAGGCCATCTAAGTTTACTACATTCAAGAATCTTTAAGCGTTGCATTTCTTAGATAGGTTATAAGCTTTTCATTGTTGGTATAGATTTCGTACACTCCATGTACCTCCTCTTTAGTATGTTTTAAGTTTAATTGCAGATTTTACATGTATTTTCTTCAGCATATCACAGAGGTTTCTCTTTCTGATGACCGGAGGGGACCTGTGACCCTCGGAGTGTATGCCTCCTCTCCCAAATCTAGGATTCCGATTACCGTGATCAGTGCCGTTTATGTTTCTTGTAACTATTATCGTACTGACTGTTCTAGGGATATCTTTAGAGATGTTTAATGCAGTAGTTTCCCTTGCCTTCCTTACCTCCACGACGTTAATAATTTTTGATTCATCCGCCTTTAGAGTTATTTTTTCTCCTCTTACCCTACCGACTTGTCCACCTGAAGCTGTGACTATTGACTAGTAGGAGAAAACTACCTATTTAACCCGTCACTGGGTCTATATGATTTTATGCTACAACTAAAAGCCGGGTTATATATTGCTGTATAGTAAAGTATATTAATATTTGATGTAGATTTTTGTCAATCAAAAGAAAAAAAAGTGACTTAATTTGATATTCAAGAATTTCTTGTTGTTATCGTCAATTATGATGTTTATAACGTCAATTTTGATTTCTAGATTTAACTCGACGGTATGCCAATTTTCTACTGTAGCAAAATGTTTACTATTTCTACATATAAAATGTAGTATATGTAGTAGTAATAATCAAAAGAATACTCACCAATATTGTTAGAGGGTGTATAAGCAAATTCGAAGAGATACGCCGGTGCATATTTAGAGGTCAAATCTGCTTGACGAATAATTCCATTAGTAAAGAAGTAGTCATTGTTAAACTAAAATAAAAATAATTTAATTTTATAAATAGATTTAAATAAAAAATACACGTAAGGGATAAAAAATACACGGGGTGTAAGGGATAGTGACGCGCAACATACAGCCTCTCCTATCCAAGTGTCAACCTCACCTGCCCGTGTGATGATTTTGATCTTAATCATCCGGTGCACTCTGCTAGATAACTGACGAGGCTCTGGAGACCGAGTGTCTGCCGGAATAAGCAGAATAAGCAGCAGAATACATTCTTCAATTTACCAAAGAGAAGACTTTATACGTGGAAATCACCTCAGGACAATAGCGAACGAATAATTCTAACCAGATTGATTTTTTACTGATAAACGAACGATACAGCAACTCCTTCAAATCCGTTAAAGCTTACCCAGGCGCAGATGTCTTTTCAGACCATAACCCTCTAATAGCGCAAATGAGTATTAAACTAAAAAGATTGGAGCAGAAAAGAAGAGCAAATCAGATAGACGTCAGTCATTTATGTAACCTGGAGTAAAGGAGAAACTGGAAAAATGTTTTAATAATAATTTGAAAATACTTCATGAAAAAGAAACATCTCAGCCAACGAACAACATAGATAAAAAATGGCAAAACGTAAAGATGGCGATAACAGGTCCTGGCGAAGCAAATTCTGACTAAAGAAAACCAAAATAAAGTAAAGGTGGATGACTAATAAGATCCTTCTTCTCATATAGTTGGAGAATAATGAAAAGAAAAATCGAACAAAGGTATAAACAAATACAGAAATAAATCAAAATAGAAATCAGAATAGCAAAAGAAGATTTTTATAAAACAAAATGTGAAGAAATAGAGCAATTGCAGACAAAACATGATATTTTTACTGTACATAAAAAAGTGAAAGAACTTGCAGGTACACAAAAAGTACAGAGAGACCGAATACCCAACACAGAATTGCGCCGTAGATCGGGAGTAACCGACGCAATCAAAAGAATATCAACCTTAAATGGAACTGGCAGGGCACGTCGCGAGAACGAAGGACGGCAGATGGACAAAACGCATTCTTGAGTGGAGACCCAGACAAGATGCCTTTAGGAATAGAGGACGACCACCAACAAGATGGACGGATGACCTGAAACGGACACATCAAAATTGGATGCGGCGGCTCAGGACAGAAATTTGTGGGGTGAACTACGGGAGGCCTATGTTCAGCAGTGGACAAGTATGGGCTGAATGATGATGATGATGATGACCCATCGTTTTGTTGTGCAAAGAGCGAGCTAGGGTGTATGCGAGGAGTATGGATGTAAATATAGATGAGAATGAGAGAGAAATAACGATAGTAGAGTGGTAGAGAGAATGGGCGACTGATAGCGGAAAGCCAAGGTGGATGAAGGAGCTTATTCCCGATCTGAAGCCGTGGTGTGAATGTAAGTTCAGGAAACTAAACTATTTCCTGACGCAATTTCTGACCGGACATGGTATTTTTGGCACCTTCACAAATGGAATAGGCAAATCTGTATCAGCAGACTGTACTGTATGTGGGGTACACTGTGTTAAATGTATATCTTCTGCAATTTATGTTTAATGTTTGTCTGTTTTATAAACATATAGACAATAGAAACAACTATCCAGAGAAGAAGAATATTTAAGATTAGAATCCGCAAAATATCGTACTACTCAATTAAACAATAAATGAAATTTGCTTTTACAAAGATTGTTTTATCTTTAAAACTGTATTTATATAGTCATTAGGAACATAGAAAGAAGTGGCAAGAATTATTTTAGAGACTTTCTAATAACTGAATTTGAAACGAGTTTGTAATAATTCAGTCTCATTATGTTTTCCAGCAGCCTTATAAATAAAAATGCGAATTCGCATGTTAGGAACTAATTTATTGAATGGAGACGGAGAAGTATGATGCAAGTAAAGAGATCAGATTGACACTGGAATCCAAAAGTATAGTGTACCAAGTGTTTAATAATATACAAACATTTTTTTTTTGAAGATAATCAAACCGATAATAAACAACGTGTGAGCGAAGTTACTGGAATGTCTTTGCGCACAGTAGAAAAAATAATGCAAGAAGCGAATATATTACCAAACGCAGATTAAAATAATCCACAAGAATTTTTAGCTACAAAACCTGCTAAACCGAAAAAAATGTGACAGATTTGAGGCCCTACGACAAACAGATCATTGGAAATATCATTTACCATTTTAGTGAAACTGAAAGTTGACATGCATCATTGAAGTCTCTCCAAAAAAGGCTTAAAGAGGCGTACAAGTAAAATGGAAATGTGAGTTTTCTTTACAAGATTGTAATAGATTAGGATTTAAATAAAAAAAAAAACGAAACATAATCGACGTTACATTATCTTGATGAATACAATTTAAACTGGTAGTTATATTATAATTTAACATATTTAGAATAAATACATTACCTGAATTAAAGCATTTCGGTCTTCAAGAAATGAGGCATTTGTATACAGCCGTTTCAGTAATGCTCCTACCGTAGCTTTGTCAGCTTCATCCACGTTAAGTTCTTCGTGTACAAGTTTACTGGGATTATCATCACCATATTTACATTTTTCGTCAAACTCCTCCCATGTCTGAGTGCTCCATGGAGTAACGACAGAAGAAGCTGCAAATTATTTTGCTTTTATACTAATATATTTTAGTAAGTATGCTGATTTTTGCAATATATTAGAGTTTATGATATATGATGATTCTTTGGTATATATTGGAATCCCCTCGTATATGTAATATATCGAAATCCCCTCATAAATGTTTGAAAAATCGCAGAATATTTTTTAATCTATTTTAGTTTCCTATTTGTATTTCCTATTTATTTATTTCACAACTGTGTATTTTATCTCGATATTCTTTGATTTAAGCCGCCCGATGTACTGCGTTGAAAAAAAAAGTGTTTTAATTCTTGTCAAGTGTTTGTTATTTCAAGTTATGCGATCAATTTTAAAAGATAATTTCTGGACTCTCGTTGAAGTTGCGATCAAGAGCGGTTCAGCGTTAGGTCCAAATTCATGTGGAATTTGTAAAATTTACTGTTTTTGCCCCTTTTCATAGAAAATGTGTAGCAGTGTGAAGTTAATGGTTCAGTTAATGTTTTGAGTGAGGATTGGAGGAATCGTCGTTTCCATCCTCGTTTTGTTTCTTCCGGATTATAATCCAAGGCTTTTGGCAGTATGGAGATAGATTTGTTCGTGTGTTTGTTGCACAGAGAGTGAAGCCCAGGTCTACCCCCAGTTATGGTTCTAGAAATTTCAGTGACGTCCAGTTACCGAAAATCCAAAGTGTTTTAGTGAAAAATCCAGGTAACATTTTGTTCAAATTTTAAAGTAAAGACAGACAATTTTTTTTATAAAATAATAATTATTGCTTCCGTTAAAATTGATAAATTATAACATTTAAAAATTGTAAATTTTAAGTTTTGAGTTTCGCTGTCATTTTAAATTTTTCTCTTTTAAATTTAATGTTTACATAAGACAGTTTTTGTATTTTTGTATTTTGCGACTATTGAGATAATATTTTGTATTGTCTTTTTTGAGTATTCTCGTATTCTCTATGTTTTGTAACTGTTTGTGGTAAGACACCAATAAATGTTAAATTTTGTTTTCTTAACATTTCTATTATTTTTTTAAAATAATCCCTTTTTTTAATAGTATCCCAAATTATCGTTACAAAAATGTCGCCCAGACATGTTTTAATTTTTTTATAATTATTTCCTAGTTACAACTAGTGGTTGTAATAGGTATAATTAGGCACCTCAAAGTGGAGCCCTATATTAAATTACTAGAGGTATTTCCTGTTTATTTTTATTTTGTTTGTTTTGTTATTTTGAAGAGATTATGTTAGTACCCCTTTTGATTCTTTTTTCTGTAGTTTCCCCAATCCACCCCCTTTATCTTTTACTTATCCACGACCCCAGCTCTCCTAACAAATCCTGAGTGCCGTTCGCACAAGTAGCGTTTATTTTGCTTGCCCTATCTTTACCCCCATAATCTTACCCTTAGGTATGCAAAATATCTTCGTTACAATATTAAAAGTCTGATACAGGAAAATAAAAACAATAATATTTGCACCAACAAAGTATTTGTCAGAATAAAAAAAGGCCAAAATATTTGTTGAAATATTGTGTGTAAATAAAATTGTGTAAAATATTTTTGAAATCTGAATGTAACATATTGTCGGCTGTATATTTTACCGTAGGCTTTTAAGGCAGTTTATTATTAGATCAAGACGTAGGCGTTTTGTATAGTGTATACTAAATAATGTGTGTAATAGGGATGACCTGTAGAAAGTGAACGTGAATAAAAATTATGTCATCATTATTAATACTGCCGACAGACTATTCAAGCCAAACTAAAAAACGTAAGTTTTTACAGTGAATTTCAAATAGACTCAATGTTTCCGAGATTTCCCATATTTTCCGGCCAGTGAAAACCACGTAGTTATTCATATTTCGACTAGCTACCCCAAATTAAAAAAAAGAGGCTTCTAGCTGCAATGGAAGCCAAGATAATGTAAATTTTTTTTACGTGTTTCAATTTGAAGTTCCGAACTCGAAAAAATAAGGAAGCTTAAACAGTTATCCCCTCCACTTTCGTATGTCGATCTTTCGAAAGTACCTTCGTTTCGTAGAGCTCTAAGTTTCGAAAAATTGGATGAGTTTTATAACTATAAGTTATAATTTAAAGTTTAGATTTCAATTCAAAATTTGTGCAAATTTTACTTCTTAACGTTTATAAACAATGATGATCTTTCTTTACGAAATCCACATTGATATTTATCTATTATGTCTTCACAATATCCTGGTAGTTGGTAGTAAAGAATATATTATTGGTAGTAGTTATTGCTTTGTAGTTGTCACATATTGCTTGATCTCCTGTCTTGTGGATAGGTACAATTATACCTATATTCCAGTCTTGTGGTAACTTTATTTGCTTCCACATCAGTTTTACCAGTCTACGTATACAGTATGTCAGGTTTTTTTGCCATTACGCCTTTAAAAGTTCTAAAGGAATGCCATCTGCCTTTGAACTGACAGCTTTGTTTTCCTTCAATTTTTGTATAGCTTGGATGACTTCTACCACTGTTGGGATGTTATCTTTCTTTCTTTCACCGTCAATGCCCTCGAATTGGATTTCTGATTCACGGAGCTCTGTCTTATATTTAGCTTTCCTCGAAGTTTTCTGCCCATCTTTCCAATATCTGGTCCTGATTCCAACGATCTCCACTATTCTATTTCTAATGATTACTAATCTAGGTTTGAATTCTTTTCTGTTCTGGTTTATTCTTTTATAGAAATTACGCGTTTCTGCTTGTGCCTTATAGTTTTCTAGTTCTTTTATTTGGCTTCCTATATGCTCTTTCTTGTTTTTTTTTAAGTAGTCGTTTTTCATCTCGCCTCAGCTGCCTATACTCTTTCTCTGTTTGTCTTGTTCTTCGCCTTTGGAATCTTCTATATGTCTGATTTTTTCTTTGCGTTGCTTGTGCGCATTCCTCATCGTACCAGTCTGACTTTAATTATTTACGTTTTTTCTTTCCGATACATAATTTGTATAGAGAAAAGTATAATAACTTCTACAAGAAAACCAACAACTTGGTGGAATGAATATTTTTTTCAACCTCTATAAAAAATACAAAACTGCTTTTCAAGTAGCATCGAAACACAAGTGACGAAAACCTAATCAATTAACAAAAAATTGGAGTAAGGCGAGGTATATCTTAAAACAAAGTAAGAAACGCTTACAAAGGAACTATATTTCCACTTTAACTTATAACAATGCCCCTTCTTAGGCCTGAAAAAAAAATTAATCAACTACGAGGAAAAATATGCACCAAAAAACTCCAGCTATTTTACATAAAAGTAGTCTAGTAACCGATGATCAAGAATTCAATAATGTAATTGCCAAAAATTTATATCAACGATTTAAAAACAAGAATGTACGTAAACTAAAAAATCTTTTTATACAATATCCTTCCTAATCTCCCTAATTTTACTCTACTATTTTAAACACTCCATTTACACTACAGGAACCCTTAGATATTCTCCCATCTTGCAAAAATTCAGCTGCAGGTCCCGACAATATCCACTGCATATTTCTCAAAAATATCTTTTCACATCTGCGTTTAAAAGACTTTTTATATTGTACAACATAATATGGAGCAATCAGAAACTTATAATGATATGGAGGGAATCTATCGTTATACCAATCAAGAAACAGGACAAGTCCATGAGTAATTCAAATTTTTACGTTCCTATTTCACCAAGATGCATCTAGTGTAAGCTGCCAGAAAAACTAATAAACAAAAGACTAACGTAGTAGGTAAATAAAAAATACGAAATTTTGGATTCATCTCAATTCGGATTCTATTCATCCTAAAGCACGGCTGACAACTTAGTAATGTTACAAACAGAGATTACAACCGACTTTCCAAACAAGCAAGATTTACTAGCAACATTATTTGACATTGAGAGCGTTTTCAACACTCTATTACGGTCTACTGTATTGACCAAATTAAAAGAATACAATATTACATTAAATAAATTTAAATCTAATAAAATCTTTAGTAAATGTTACCTGAGGAGCTCAAAAAGACATCCGAAAAGCATAGATGAAGCCATGATCCCATATTAATGGCAACATGGAATGAAAAAGCACATAAAAGGAAAATCAATTCGCTTTGGATATAAGTCTTGGTGTTGAAATCTAAGATCTAGTTATTTGATTGACTTTCAGGTAAATCAAGGAGTCAAAGTACACAAAATAATTATAAAAAAGAATTTGTTTTTTTTAATGGCATAAACATTAGTCATTCAGCCAGTTGCAATAGATTCTCTAATCAGACAAATGCACAACCTTATCCTTAATAGAAAACTAACGGATAATTGATAGAAGAATATACGACAAGAAAAAGAAACTTACAGGGTCACTTGCTTTTCGTCAAGGGAGCCATAAAGTCATTCTTAGTAGACAAACAAAACTGGGCCACGGTAAAGGTGTTATAACATTAAAGATAAATAAAGGATACACATCTAAACTTCCACACGATCATGAAAAATTCCATGCTCGCGTACAAATTCTACAGAACCGTGCATGTGTCTGACAAGAAATCCATAATGATATTATATATTTGTAGTGATACTGTAGCCAGTATCGACTGGATACTGAATGGAGAATTTGTTTTAGGAAGTCGCACAATTCTGCAATTTTCGGAGGATTTTCCAACATTTGAATGTGGAAAAGTAATGTCCATGATATTTATGCAGATATTTATTTTGCTTCCTTTAAGTTAGTGGGTCACATAAGGAAAGATGGAGAAAAGATAGGTTACGTTGGCACCATTAGATCAAATTGAGTTAAAAATGCCTATTCAACGAAATAAAAAAATTTTTACGTGGTCATCACGAGGCATATTACGATTAAAGTAATGAATAATTTTTGTGTAGATGTAGTGACAAAGTGTGGTTATTGTTGTTTCAAATTTTCAAGGTATCAGTCCGATTAGCCAAGCTACGAGGTATTATTTTGCACAAAATAAGAAAATAAAAATTCCACAGTCTTTCTTGATAAAATAATATAACGAGAACATGGGAGGCACTGACCAAGTGGATCAAAATGTATCATTAGGTCTTAGCATTAGGTCTAAGAAATGCTACTGGCCACCTTTATATGGGGCTTGGACGTATATTCTGTATATGTACAGAATGCTTGGCTACTTTAAAGAAAAATGAGGGAAACTATTGAAGTCTAACGTGAATCACATTTGTTGGAATTTAGTCAAAATCTAGCAAAAGCTTTGGTTACTATAGAAAATGTCACACCGAGAGTGCAGTACGGCTAATATAGGAATGCACAATTGCCAGATTTCACGCCTTGTGCTTGGCGATACAAACAAGTCCAAGTGGTAGTCACAGAACCGTACCCAGATCTCTATGCCGGCTCTGTTATTTATTATAAAATAATATATTTATAAAATAATTGCCTTCAAGTGCAATCCAATTGCAAGATAAAAACTTTTTAGCGAGAATTTTATTATAAAACTGTATACTTTATTAAACTAACAAATGTATTTTAAATTACATTTCTCGATAGCTATAAATATACCGGGTGGAACCTCCGGTACCTCGATTTCCGTGAACCCAGCCCAATATCCAGAAAAAACTTTTTTTTTGTAAATATGTGAAAAATTATCAGGAACGGGAATATCGAAAAAGCTTTGCACATTTTTTAATCCCGGTGATGTTATTACAAAAACAAGTTGCGCACTTGAATCACTGCGAAATTTTAACACCTACTATGAAATTTTTCTTTGTGGAAATCTGAAGTGCAGTTTTTGTCCTTGTTAAAACATAATGCAGTCTCGCATTTTTTTACACACAACATAAGTTTACCTAGTTCCTTGGCATAACAAACCTGGTAGTTTTCAGCGGAACCTTGTATTATTCCATATGGGATAATGGTTTTCCTTGTCCACACTTGACCAGATGAGCAGGTATAAGGTTTATAGTGTAAATTATTTAACATTATATTATATTTATACTTTATTAATTTAACAAATATACTTTAAATTACATTTCTTGATAGCTATAAATATACAGGGTGGAACCTCCGTGCACCTAGCCCAATATCCAAAAAGCCCATACTCTGATTGGACTGGCAAATGCATTTTATTGGTTATACAGTGTAAAATAATCGAGGTTACTCATATATATTCAATTAATTATACTAAAGTCGTCCTCTACATCTGAGATGTCGGATTCGCTTTCGCTACTCTCCCCTGTGTTCGCGTGTATTATCAATTGGTCTACGGCATCTTGCAGGTTGTCCGCAGTCCACATCTCAGTTTCCGTTTTCTCAACAACATGAGTGACATAATTGCACCAATTTTGCTCTGTGACGCATGCGAAACCGTCGTCGATCAACTGGCGTACCTCGTCGTTTTTAAAAGTGGTATTATGGGTACCTACATAATTAATTACATAATTACCTACTTAATTGTTTTCATACCATTTCTATAGGATTCAATTCGCAGTGATACGGAGGAAGCCTTAAAATATAAACATTATATTGTGAAGCATACTCATCAAAATGATACTTATCGTATTGATCTTTAAAAGCACGCCCTGCTTCTAATAGCTCGGATTTCAAATAACACTCCTCGAAAAAAATGTCTTTTTCCACTAGCCATTCCTTGATTGCAGCTTTATTCCAGGAATTGTTAGAGAATCTCTCTTTACGGGAGTGGTACGATGCACTGTCCATTACAATGACATTCCTGCGACCATTATTTGGTAATTTTGATATTAATGTCTTCTTAAACCACGACTCAAAACATGCGGCATCCATTTCATCATTTGTCTTTGCCAGAAAAACACGCTGTGTGCCAGGAAGAAAACCTCCTGAGAAACCTGCATGCAATAAAACATATCGTGGACCTCGTTTAGTAGGTGCTTTTAAGCCAGTACTTAAACCTTTGAGAAAAGCATCACGACTGTTTTGTATCGTAGTATCGCACCATTCGTAATTTATAGATTGGTCACCGTTAACCCACGATTCGTCCAAATATATGATATTGCAATGATCTTTTCGCAAACGTCGTATAGTTCTCAAATAATTATGACGCCAATGAATAATATCCTCTCGCTCCACCATGATGCTTTTTCGTCCACGTTTCTTATAAACAAATCCAATATCTTTCAGAAGTCTGTATAAAGTAGAAAAAGACAACGGCTATATATTCTAATTACCTTGTATGAAGTTATGTATATGCTTTAAGAATGGCGGCAAATTTTTCATGAAAAATCTACAATGAACAATTCTCCGTAGAATACTTCTTACACCCTCGTCATATGTAAATATTCTAGAATATGATTGACACACTCGTTTTTTGCGTTTTTTTGGCGATTTCAACGTTCCACTCTGTTTTTTTTTTCTTTTTTGAAATTGTAAATGCATCTTTCGCTAACACCAGTCATCAACGAAGTACGTCTTACAGCAGCACTTACATTAAGTTGTTCCGTATTTTGTAAAAAACACAACACATTTAACACTACGAGTTTAACGCAACCGTTAAATAATTCACCGGATTTAAACTTATGGGACTCCATGCTCTCTCTTGAAACTCGGACTAAATTTTGAAGTGTAGTTTCGTTTTCCAAAAGCGCTTTCACCCCCTACCCATCCTAAGGATGGGTGGGGGTGAAATAGGGAAAGCTTGGAGTTTATCAAATACTAATTATGACAAACAAGTTTATGGCCATATTTAGGAGATTATGTTAATGATGGTAATTTGTAGCAGAAGTTTTACAAAAGAAATGAAGACCTATTTATAGAAACAACATAACTGTATTTTTAATATTTTACATACAATAGAAAAAATCTAATTTCTATGAAAGAATTGGAAATTTGAATATTATATATATATATATATATATATATATATATATATAATATATATATATATATATATATATATATATATTATATATTAATAATATCATTTGCAAGTTTCCAAATTCATTCCTAGAAATTATGTAGGTTTTTTCTATTTTATGTAAAACATTAAATCTACAGTTATTGTATGTTGTTCTTGTAAAGAGGTGTTCAAATGCTAGTCTTATGAATATTATTCAATTATATATCTCACGTTGACGTTTTATATACAAAATTCATAGTTTTCGTTGTCAATAACTCATCAATGCGTTTTGTTCTACTGTATACGTATACATGCAATAAAATATTTTTACTCGTACTGCCGGCAGATGCATTTTATCCCAGCCGGTCCTGTGAGACAATGAGCAATCAACAGCTGGAGGAAACCGACAACCCTGCGCGTTTATTCTCCATAAGAAAAGCATTGCCGTATCTTACCCGTACTGCACTCTCAGTGTGACATTTTCTTTAGCTATGGTACTCCCCGTACCAAATCAGGATCTTTGCACTCAACAGTAAAACGAACTGTGGTTGCCACCAGATTTGATGATTTTTTGCATCTTATAGTACCACAAACAAAACGGACTCGTGGTTTATGCCACTCCACATCAATTAAAAAATTTATCAAAAGTGTAATATTGTGCTCACGAAAAAAGCTAAAATTTCATGGTAAACAAGATTTAGCATCTTTCTGTGCTCTTTTTAAATGTTTTAATTCGTGTCCTGTATTCTAGCTAAATAAATTTGTTTTTAATTTGTGCATTTATTTTATAACGTAAGTGCCCAGTGTTACGTCTTTTAAACACTAGTTTTTTTTTCAAATGCTTGAAGTTTTCTGCAATGAAATCTTAATTTTTACCCATTTGTGATCGTTTTTATTTACATATTGACCACACTTAGAGATCTCAAAATAAAATTTTTTTTGACATAAAATATAAATATAAAATCACTGAGTTCAAATTAAAGTGAAAGTAATATATTAAATAAAACTTACACGGAATAAACCATAACATTTCTTGTGATGTGTATCCAGCTAATAAAGCCGCATGTTCAAAATCTCCTTCCAAAAATGCTTGATGCATAGGTTTGCTTATAAAAGGCTCTTCTATATATTTCTCTTCAACAGATGGGACCCAAATAAGGTCAGGTATTATACTCACTGTTTTCTTAGCTTTAACATCAAATATCTAAAAAATAAAGTAAATTTAGTATTGTACACGGTGTCCCACATAATTGGCTAAAAGGTGATAAAAGATATCAAAATAAAGTGAGCTCAAAATATTTTAATAAAATTTTACTCGTTTTCATTCCATAGAGTTTCAATATTGTTTTTGTTTATTTCTTGGGATGCATTTGTTATTAAAAGAAAACAATGTACAGGCTAGGCTGCCACAATACACTTTGTCTCTGACCTCGATATGTGCAGTATTTTTGATGACCCAGAGTATGGAGAATCTTGACTTGATTTGCGCATATTTTAATAGCTAACGTGATATAGGACCGTTTGTGCCTCATTTTACGACTAACCAACATTTTCTATTTGACATAATCTACTAAAATTATATCCTAGATATTACCAATGATTCGCTTTAGAAACTATTAGAACTGTTTTATTAATTGGATAATTCTTCTCGTTTATTATATAATTTTACATAAGTCACCAATACTTAAATAATTTTTATAGATAAAACTGTGGCTTGTGTTATGTAACGATTTTTACCTGCGGTTTAATTACTACAGTCCCTGGCATGAGAGTGAATAACTTATGAATGTAAAGTCCTGTGACCGTAGGTCACTTGCATCACTTTAAGTAATGTTGGTTGACAACACGATCACAAAGGACAGGCGGCGGGCGGCGCTAGTCGTTCCAGCAACGAGAAGTTCAGGATTATAAGTTCGAGGGGATTAGTGGTTCAGTGTTCTAGTCCAAAGAACTTTTAATTCCGAACCAATCTAGAATCGTAAATTCGATCCTCAATTTTAAATTGGATTTTCAGTTCGCACATGCGTAAATCTTGATGTCTAATGTCATTGTTTGTTATCATTTACATTTATCCCATTTATCATTTTGTTGTTATTGTTATTATTAGACTTCGGCAAATATGCATATTGCATATTTTGCATATTGTGCATATTTTATGCAAATATTTCATATTTTGGCATATTTGTATAAAAGTTTGCATAAAGTGCATAAAAGTTCAGATTTTTATACTGTATTTGAAAATTTTTAAACATACCAATTTATTTCAATTCTTGTATAAAATTTTGTAGTCATTTTAATCAAGAAATGATCTAAGTACGTAATCTCTACAGGTACAAAACATTTACAATTTCAAAGAAGATCAATTTAAGTAGCCCTCAACATTCTTAGAAAGTCTCGGTCACTGAGGCATTCAGTTATTGGATAATCGCTAGGGGTTCGCTCATTTGCACTTTATGATCTAATCCCCAAATCTATCTACAATTTATTGTATCTTAACAGCAGGTAAACGGCTAATAGTTTTGTTCCTAATTTAGGGATTTTCCAAAATCTCCCAGTTTATTGAATTAGGTACCTAAACATTTCTAATTTGATGCTCAGATTTGTAAATCATTTTTGTTTTGATATTCAAAGCGTAAACACTCGTTGTGCGTAACAAAAAGGAAGATTGTGATTTTATAATGCCTAAAACAACCAGTGCTTCAACTTGGATTAAACCTTATAAAGAGCTGTCTATGGATATGGGAAAAATCTACTGTTCAGTCTGTGGCAAAATTGTAAGTATCTAATATTTTCTATTAAATATCTAATATTTTATACTTACCGGGTGTTTCCAAATGACACTTACAACGTTTGACTGTAGATACTTCCCGAAAAATTGAACAAAACGATATAGTTATTGAGGGGTCAAACTTATTTACTTTTCGAGATACAGGGTGTTAAAATTAAAAAAAATTAAATTCTTTTAGTTAATAACAACAATAACTTTAAAACCAATAAACGTATTTACTTGAAATTTAGTACTCGTAGGTTGTTTTTAAATAAAAAATATCTTCCTTTAGTGAGAAAAAATTGTCCATGGTACAATACAATGGTGTGTATTTAGAAAAATTTTTCACCTTTACTTTTTTTTATGGAGTCAGCTATTCTAAAACACAATTATTTTTATTGTAATTGAATTAACAAAAAAAAAACTTTTGTTGAAATTTAAAATAAGTTATATGATGTACTAATGGTTAGTAACAAAAACTAATTTGTGGATTAATACTGCATTTAAATCACTTGGCGAGTGTTTTTTTTTTCCAAACCAGTTATTTGATTAACCAAAAACACCTTGTATATTTTTATATTTTAAAGGTTGGGTTAAAATAAAGGTTTTTATTTTTATTTATAGATAGCATGTGAGAAGAAATTTCAGATAGACCAACATGTGAGAACTGCTTCACACATTGCAAAAAAAGGAAAAATAGGAGGAAAACATCAAACTTCAATGGCTAAATGTTTCCAATCTACTTCAAAAAAATTAGATGAGCAAGAAACTTTTAATGAAGACTTGTGTCGCGCATTAGTGTCTGCAAACATACCGCTTTCAAAATTGGCAAATGTAAATTTTAGTTCGTTTCTAAAAAAATATTGCAAACTTAATGTTCCAAGTGATCGGTCTCTAAGAAGAAATAATGTGAACGGGTTATACTCGTCGGTGTTAATTAATATTAAGGAAGAAATTGCAGATAATTATTTTTACATATCTGTAGACGAAACCACTGATTCCTCAGGAAAGTATATTGCTCATTTATTGATTGGTATTCTTAAAGAAGATACCTTACCAAAATCTCATCTTATTTCATGCCAGCAACTTGAGAAAACAAATGCTTTAACAATTTCGCGTTTTATACAAGAAACATTAGCAACTTTTTTTCTTCCAACAACTATTCCTTCTAATAAATTACTGCTTATTTTATCGGATGCTGCTCCTTATATGGTGAAAGCAGGACAAATATTTAAAAATATTTTTCCCAGATTTAATACATGTTACATGTGTAGCGCATGGATTAAACATAGTTGCAGAGGAAATACGAAAAAAGTTTCCTCTTGTAAATACCATGATGTCCAGTGTCAAAAAAGTATTTCTTACATATCCTATAAGAATTCAACTTTATAAAGAAATGCTACCTAACATTCCTCTTTCACCACAACTATTTTAACGCGATGGGGAACATGGTTAGAAGCAGCTAATTTTTATGCAGATCATTTTGTTAAAATAAAGAACATAATTGATACGTTAACAGATGAAAGTTCCCAATCTCTTTTGGATTCTACACGAACTTTTTAGAGTAACTTGCTTCAACAAGAACTTTCATTTATAGAATCAAATTTTAGTTTAGTTCAAAAAAACAATTACTCAGTTAGAATCACCAAAACTGTCATTGTTCGAAAGTACAGCATTAATAAAAGAATTTGCGTCATGTTGTCGGAACGTTAGAGGTAATATTGGAAAAGATATTTTAAAAAAATTTGAAGCTACTATGGAAAAAAATAAAGGTTACCATATTCTTTCTGAAGTAGTCAGTGTTCTAGCTGGAAATATTTCGGAAACAATTAATTTAGAACCAAATGTTTTGGTTAGTTTGAAAAATGCTTCCGTTACATCAGTTGATGTTGAACGAAGGTTTTCCATATATAAATATATGTACTCAGACAGAAGCCACAAGTTTTTGTTAAAATATTTTGAACACCACTTGGTCATTTATTGTTACCATAATTCTAAATAAGTTTATTCATACTTAAAAATGATGTAGTTACTTAAAGTAAATGTAAATCTTAATGAATAGTAGGAAATATTTAGTTATGTACACTTTTTATTTAAATAAAATTGTTACTATTTTACGATTTTTTTATTTATTTGTATGCAGATTTTGTAAAATATTTGCATATTTTCGGGTAAACACGTACATATTTATGCGCATATTTTCTACATTTTTTTTGCATATTTGCCGAAGTCTAGTTATTATATTTTTGTCATTATTAATTATAATTTATTATTAGTCAGTATTATTAGTGTGTCAGCTTTTTCTGTATTGTGGAAATACTTACATAGTGTTTATCTGAAAAGAGAGCTTTATTGAAAATAGAAGATTTCCATTCAGACATGGACAGTTTAAGTAGTGACGAAGAATTATTATTATTATTAGAAAATCATCAAGAAACAGTCATTAGGAACAAAAATTATATTGAAGTAATTGTTCCACAATATAGTGATGAAATGTTTGTGGAACATTTTCGAGTTTCGAGAAATTGATTTAAAACGTTTAAAACATTTTTTTCAATTACACTAGTATCTTTTTCAAAACAACGAAGCTTCGGTTATAAATGACACCCAAAACAGTCTTCTTGGAGTTATTTCCGTGACATGCGATGTTCTGTAATGTAAAACATTAAATTCTGCGTTTTATTAATATTTCAAATACCTTCTATTTATTACTACAACTCGAAATTGAAATTTCATGTCATAGGTTTTAAAGATTGATCTCTAAAAATGGAAATTTTATTACGACTGATCAATCAAAGTAATCAATTTTATTAAACTCACAAGAATTGTAAAAAATGGCAAAAAGTTGCGTCACGTTTATTTATTTAACACCTTTATAAAAACAGTTTATTCTAATCAAAATACAGAAACTGCATACGAAAGCTGTACTCATTACCTCTAAAACGAATCTTAATTTTTATTGATAACACACTTGCGCGTATAACTGACTTTCAAAATCATTTTACAGATTCTTAATAAATCGATTTTTTTGCATATTTATTTCCTTACGAGGGAGATTTAAGGGTTATGCCCATGGATAAAAGTACTAAATACATTTTTCATCTTTTTGGGGTCCCAAATTTAATATTTTCGTCACAATTCAGCTTTCAGTCACAAACAGTAGATTTTGTAAAAACTATGTTAAAAACGCCACGAAATTGTATAAGCTATCTAAACGATTTTTGTTATATATCTGGTGACCTAACTTTAAAAACTCGATCTCTCGAAAACTTATCAATATTTTAAATGATTAAATAATTTATTTTCAGTTTCCTCCATCATCAGACTTTATTAAAATATGCCACTTCTAACACCAATGTAGTATTTATTTTTAAGTATTCGAACACTAACACTAAAACCCAATTAATTTATTACAAATAAAATAATATTTATTTACTTAATCGTACAAATTTATATTTTCCAACTTTTTGTAAATTCAAATTGGTGTCATATATACTTTTTTTTCGGCAGCTTTAGAATAGTTGTGGGTTTGTGCATCTATCGCGTAGTATATTTGAGACGTAAAAAAAGTTCGTGTACCCAAATAATATCTATTACACTTTTTGTTAATGAAGTAACCAGTGGCGGCTCGTGACATCTGCTATAGGGTGTGCTGCATGAACCACGGTCAATATAAAATAATAGAAATAGAATAACATACGAAAACAAAAACAATAAAATTAGCTTTAATACTAATTAATAGTAACTAATAACGACATGCTATAAAAATCTGATTAACTTACATTTATTGCATTTTTCTAAATTGGAAATTAATACGCCGGTCCTTTTTTGTCGCAAACTTTTCGATTACTTTATCGTTAAAGTTCGGTATTGAAGCGATGAACTTTTTTTCTATCGAGAGTGTGGAAAGGGCTGTTAATCTGTCTTCGCACATTGAATTTCTTAAAAATGTTTTGATCCGTTTTAAAGTTGAAAAACTACGTTCAGCTTCTGCTGTGGTCATTGGCGTAGTCACCAGAATTTGTATCAACTTTTTGGTTTCTGTTAATGTGTCCTCTAAATTATTAGAAATTATAAATTTTAGTAAAGGCACTGCACCTTTTAATGTTCTACACTCGATATTGGAATACAAAACTGACAGTTCTGTTCGCAAACGGTTTTTATCAAAGAAGTTATAAGCTGTACAAGTTAAATCCAATTCATTTTCAGGAAACTTATTATTATATTTTTCGAAATGTTCTGAAGATAAAAGTGTTGCGGCAACTAGATGATTTGTATATGCAAACCGTTCTTTTGCATTGTTTATAATAACATCACAAACTTCTAGACAGGCAATACGGTGATCCTGTTGGCTGTTATTTGGGCGTTTCCTTTTTTGGACACTAGGCGCCGCATTTAAATTTGAAGCTTGATGTATGATAGGGTCTATTTTATTTCGGACATTGTTAATACTTTGCTCAAAAACATGTATAGCTTTCTGTGCTTCGGTTGGGTCCATGTTCTTTTTTTGAAGATTATTGTACAAAACGTCAACATGTGGCATAATATAATGAAAAACAGTCAGCCAGAAAGTAAAATTTTGATCTTCCAGAATACGTCTAAGTCCTCTTGCTTCCTTGGAAGTAATAGCATTTGACTCTTCTTCTAGTTGCTCCATACACTCAATAATAAAGTCTCTATATTCGTAAACGACATTTACTGTACGAATATTGAAATTCCAGCGTGTAGGGATTGAACGAGGAATATTTTTTCCAACTATTTGATTTAAGACAGCTATTCTTTGAGGTGAATGACTAAAAAATCCAGGTATATCATGTAAATCTCCAAAAAATACGCGTACTTGGGAATTAATAGAACATGCTCTTGACATTATTAGATTCAATTGATGGGCGTAACAGTGCACAAAATGAGCAGTTTCATATTTTCTCTTAATTATTGTTTGCACTCCGCCATGTATCCCACTCATAACAGCTGCTCCGTCATAACTTTGTGCAATGAGCTTATTTTTGTTATTCTTTAATATTGGGTCTAAAACATTCAAAATTGTGTTAGCTAAGGTTTCAGCATCATGTTTTTCTGGAAGCAAAAAAGTCCAAAACCTTTCAACTGGAGCACCGTTTTTTACATAACGAAAAACAATGACCATTTGAAATTTCATAGAAACATCCGTTGTCTCATCAGCTATCACTGCTAAAAATGGGGCTTCATTGATTTCGTTTAAAATCTCCTCAGCGTATACTTCTAGCATGCAATCCAAAATATCATTTTGTATTGTTTTTGAGGTACCTTTGAAAATTGTCGCATTTGTAAGGTGTTCACTAAGTGTTTTATCAAGTTCAGCAGAAAAATTCACTAAACCACGAAAAATTCCAGGGTTATCTGATGTTTCAGATTCATCGTGTCCTCGTAAGGCGAGCTCAAAAGCCCCACAGAATTTTATACAGTCAATTATTTTTGACAAAACATACCTGTTTTTCGTCACCTCTTCATTGTGTTTTTGTATATTTATCCAATAAGCAGAGTCAAGTTGGGCCTGTATATTAAGTTTCCCAAATAATGCAAATCGCATTTCATTGTTCATATGAGTTTGCGTGTTTTCATGCTTCTTTATTTTTTCACTTAAATGCACTAGATCCCGCACTCCTGTCTCGCGCCACAATTTTTCCTCTTTATCTGCGCCGAATAATGCACACGGAAAACAGAAAAAAGCATTTTTTTCGGAACATCCACAAATCCACTGATTTCGTAGATACATGTCTTTATTAAATTTTCTAAACACGGCACAGATGCAACGGTCACGAATAACTGTCGTGAATTGCAGCTCGCAAACACATTTCCGAGGCCGTTAATCAGCCGATTGCCGAAGCACATCGGCTAAGATCGCCGTTTGCCTAATAAATGCATTTTACCGCTGCCAGTGTTTCGGTTGTTATCGACGCGGCTTCACTGGAGCAGCAAATACGTAAAAAGATTGCTTCACTGGAGCACCAAATACGTAAAAAAATTATACGGTTTCACTAGAGGAGTAAATACGTAAAAAAAATAATATTAATCATCGTTGTTGGTGAATTATTATTAACAGTTTATGTTTAATATGATAATATGGCAGATTTGAAATAAAACTATATTAATTATTCTTTAATAATTAAGATTTGCTATGGTTGTTTGGTAGTTCTGCAGCTCAGCAGCACATAAAGAAAAGCCGCCACTGGAAGTAACTCCGAAAAATACCCAAGAAAATATAAACTAACTGAGTCTTAGTAAACAAATATATACATAAACATAAACCTTACTTTAGTTGACAAATCAATAATATCATTTGCTGGAGCGTTCATAAGAACTTCCAAGAGTCTTGTAGTATTCTGTTCATCTAAAGTATTATCCAACTTTTTAGCTAATTTAAATGCATATTGTCCTGGATTTGGGACATTTGAAAATACATTCATGGCGCTACCACTCTGCAAAATAGCTCCTCTAAACAAACCTAAAATACATAAAAATAAAAAAACATAAATCATTGTAAATTTTAAATAACGTAAAAACAAGAAAATTGAGATAACTCGAATTAACAAGAAGTTGTAATATGGTATGATTAAAGGTCTCTGCCCACTACATCGTACCATACTCTGACTACAGTAGGAACGTGGTAGTTCCTACGAAAAAAAGCGTTTCTGTCATTGTTATGCCCACTGCAAACGAAGTGAAGTGAAGTCGGGGGTCTTTGTGCCGCAGTTTTTATTGTACATTAGTTATTTTGTGGCAACACCATCTTTTTTTCTGTTGTTCATTGAATCTCTGTTTTAAATAAAGTAAATAAAGCAGTGCTTTTTTGTAATACAATACACTATCGTCTGCGAGAAAGTGGAAAATGAGAACCGTAGGCCAGAAGATAAAGAGGAAAAGGAGAGGCGTAAAAAAATAGAGGTAGAAATCATAAATGATTTATCCCAAATTCACGAAAATTTTTAGTTAGAGGTAAGTCAAATCACTAGTAGGATAGATAAATTAGAAGAAAAACAAAACAATTTTAAAAATAAAATAAAACAACAAAATGATTTGTAAACAAATGATAAACAAACAGCTTCATCCCCTTTCATAATTGAACCAGGTATAATTAGAACTAGTAAAATTTTAAAACCACTCACATTCGATGGTCAGACAGCATGGGAGGCTTATAGTTTTCAATTTTAAGCTGCAGTTAGAGCAAATGGCTGGAATGAAAAAGAAATGGCAGCTTCTTTGGTGGTGTCACTTCGAGGACAGGCAGCAACCGTTTTGCAAATCCTTCCCCAAGACGCACCCAGTTATACCTCTCTCGTTGAAGATTTAGAGACAAGATGTGGCCAGCAGCATCTAAAGCAGGTTTTCCAAAGTCAGCTAAAAATTCGATATCAAAAACATAACGAAAGCCTGCAAGAATTTGAAGCCGACATTAAAATTAAAAGACTATTGCACTTGGCATACCCTCAGGCACCTAAAGATGAAACAAATTGGAATACAGGCATTCACAAATGGAGTACAGGATGTTGAAATGCAACAAACTCTCCGATTACAACATCAAAAATCACTAAATGGAGCACTAGTCTCAGCCGAGGAGTATGAAGCGGCAAAAAGCATTTGAGCAGATCTCGCTCAAAATTAAGAGAAATAAGATTTCAAGAAAATGAAGAAATCACAACCGCAGATAACCAACAACCTATTTTATCACAAATTTTAAACATACTACAAAATCTTCAACAAAAACCTCGAAATGAAAACAGAAGATGTTTTAATTGCGGAAGAATAGGACATTTTCAAAACAATTGCAGAAGCCGATCCCAAACAAGGAGAGAACATCCAAAGAATGAGGCTAAAAGGTCGCCTAGATCGACATTCAGAAAATCATCATACAGTCCTACTAGAAATACTAGTAGATATAGCTCTATAAGTAATCAATTTAGCACAAATGACCACATAAGCGAAACTCTGGAATCTAATGTAGCACATTTGAAGGAGCAATTACTGATTAGTAAAAATAAAATAGAAGTTAAGAAACCAGATGTCAATTTTGCAGTATCAATGTCACCTTGAAGAAAGAGACAATGTAACTGAAGAAGTAAGTTTACGGAGGACCACAGTTATAAAGGAAGAAGATAATGATAATTCTTCCCTGGAAAACCTTAAAAAGAGTCAAAAGAAAGATAATGAATTAAAAGTCATACGAGAATGGCTTAAAAATGGAGTAAGACCTATTTGGCAGGGAATAACCAAATACAGTGGAACTATAAAAACGTACTGGGCTCAATGGGAATCTCTGTATCTTTCCAATGGTCTATTATATCGGAAGTGGGAAAGTTCCGATGAAGTACGTATAGTTCAACAAGCGGTACTGCCGAAATCATACATTAAAAGTGTGTTGCAAGAACTTCATAGCAGCCTTTCTGGAGGACATTTTGGAGTCAAAAGAACACTGGCCAGAGTTCGAGACAGATTTTACTGGATCAATTGTCGCCGAGATGTCGAAGATTGGTGTAGGAAATGCGATTTATGTAATGGTAAAAAAGGCCCTAGAAAAAGAAGTCGTAGTAAGATGGCACAGTATCTTTCCGGAGAGCCTTTTGAACGACTTGCAGTGGATATTCTTGGTCCACTTCTGATGACAGAGGAGGAAACAAGTACTTAATAGTCGCAATGGATTATTTTTAAAAATGGCCTGAAATTGTGCCCTTCCTAATCAAGAAGCGACTGCAGTAGCAGAAGCATTTATAACATACGTCGTATCAAGACATGGAGTTCCTTTAGAGTTACATTCTGATCAAGGACGAAATTTTGAATCAGAAGTATGGC